TGCAGTAGTTGTAACCTCCCTTTGGGTGTTCAGGTACATCCTTTTGCTGTCCTGAAACTTGTTTGCTGATTTAATCTGTGTTTTCTTCCCTCTGCCTTACCTCTTCTGTTTTTCGTTCTTCCCTTCAGGCCCTTTTCTGGCCTTTGTCTCTCTGCGTCTAAAGGATGATGGTCTTTTGTACTCCTCTCTCTGGAGGAGAGCAGAGGTACATTGTTATAGTGTGCTCTTGAATCATCTGCTGAGAGCTCAGAGAACTCCAGCCCAGTGCCCACTGCAGAATCACCTGCAAGGCTGGCACCCTGTGCACATACACACGAATGGTTTTTAGCCACATTCCTCATGGGAGCTCCAGGCAATATGCAAGGAAAGTAAGCATTTCTGATGAGGAAGTGACTCCAAAGAGACATTTATATTCCCTTTGCTAATGCAGAAGGAACAGTTTTTCTTTTTAAGAAAGATGGTTTAGCCTTCTTTCTCCATCTGCTTGCTGTCATAACACAAATTCTGCTCTGTATGTAGGAGCTCCAGAGAAGCGACCACTGTGCTGAACATTTTCATTTTTCAGGATAACAGCAACATGATTCATTGTGAACACTCAGGATAGCTACCCTCGACTTGAGAAACAGGTAATTAAAGAATGTAATTTATCTGAGCTACTCGAGATAGGCATCTCAGAATAAGAACCTGAGTTGTTTCTCACTGTTGCTGTAGAGGAAAGCACAGCTCACCTAAGACTTGAGAATTTGGCACGATACTCGTATAAAAGTATTGAGCAGACAGGTGGGGGCTGAGAGAAACGAGGTAATAGCAGCTCCCTCTAGTGATGGGCTGGGGAGGAGAGAAGCAGACCCAGCAGGGAGCTGTGGTCATTATTCAACCATCAGACAGGCGATGGGTCCTCAAGTTCTCTCCAAACATAGCTTATGTTTCTGTGAAAACACCTCCAGGATGGATTCTGATCTCGATTTTGTTATTGTATAACACCTCTGCCTGTGTGTAAGAGTCCTTGGGTGATGGTTATCAGGATGAATCCAGTCTACTCTGTGTTTTTTTATCCTTTTGCAGGCTCCTAGACTTCAGCCAGGCAGCTTTTCTGCTGTGTGGCTACTGGAGTCAACCATGTGGCTGCTGGAGTCGACCGTGCCTCATACTGAGATCCCTCGTGTGTTATCCACAGTGTCCAGTCCCTCTGAAGGTGTCTTTCCTAGTAGCTGTACCAACAGTGAGTGACCAGGCTTCTTGGAGTATTTAGAGCAAAAACATTGCCATAAGGTGAGTCTTACAGTGAAGAAAAAAAAAAAAAGGAAAAAAAAAAAGGATAATGTGTCTTTCTACTTCATTGTGGTTTTGCCTTTCTTTTGCAGGGACAGACCTTACTAGGTGGTTTGTGTCACTGCCCACTCTCTCCTCTGCCCCCATCACTGCAGGCTGACAAGCATGGCCTCTTCCTCTAGCTCAGAAATGTCCATCTCTGGTTTTTCAGGGAGAGCCCCTTCAGCTCAGAGCGCTCAGACTGGTAGAATTATACATTTCATTAGAAATAAGATGTTAAGGTTCTTTTGAAGTTGATGGCTTTTCCTGTAGCCTTTCAGGTCCGTGCTGAGATGTCTTTGCCTTGTGCCATTATCTTTTTTTTTTCCTCTCTTCTTTCTGTCTCCTACAGTTCCCTGCGTGGATGAATGCAGAAAAGGTCTTTTCAGAAAAGGTCTATAAAGGTCTTTTGTAAGTTGCTATTCATTAAATTCCCTTTCCTCGACCCGACTGTGTACAATGTTAACAAGGCAGCTCTCGGGACCCTTGGGCATGGCACTGCTGTCTTTAAACCCTCCTTTACCTCGTGTCAGTGGTGGCAGCAGCGTGTTGCCAGAGTGTCACCTCTTCCCAGCTCGACTGAGACCCACATTTCAGTGGTGAGAACTGTTCTCCAAGTCCCTGGGAGTGGCAGGGGAGTTCTGCAGGCTCTCTTGTGTGGAAGGTGTCAGGCAAAAGGAAGATAGCTGCTGCTGCTATGTTGCAGTACTGAGCACATCCTTTATCAAGCCCTTCAGTGGCAACATTGAAGGGGGAGCTGCTTTCACACTGAGACTGACAATCCGAGCACAAACAAGTGAGATGTACTGTGTACATTTGCAACTCTTCCTGCCATCTCTGTTTAATCAAAGCAGTGTACCCTGCAGGCTTTCCCTGGAGTTCACTGCAGCTCCTGCCTTTTGTTTGAGGGGAATTTGTTTGGCTCAGAGTAAATGTAACTTAGCCTTTCTGTGACGATAGCCAAGACGTCGTTCTGTAGTCTAAATGGAGGATAACAGCCTCAGTATTGCCTACAGCGTGCTCTGCTCTTGTGGTGCTTGTGTGGGGTGCTGCTGTCCAGAGTGCTCTTCCCAAACCTGAGGAGGGTGAAAAGGTGACATATAGCAACCAGAGCATGGCCAGGTGCAGCTCTCCAGTAGCTAAACAAACCCAGCCCATCATGTTGATGCCACATTGGGAGGCAAGGTTCCCCTGGCAACCCCTCAGGCCCCAAGCCGAATTTCTTTGGACACCTGCACATAGAGGAGAGAGCTCTAGGAGTTTCAAGAGGTACTGAAGCTGGCAGTTCTGGGATTTTAAAAAGGGCCACTCTGGCTCTGCTGGTGAGCCTTGCAAAGCCACTGCTATTCCTGTGATCTCAGAGTGGGAAAGAGGGAGTTCTTTCAGGAAGAGGAGCAAAGGCTTTGATGAAAGGCGAGCTGTAAGAGTAGTTCTGCCATTGCTCCCTTGCTTTGTCATTTGAGGAGCACAGCTGTGTAATGGTCCCATGTTTTGGGCAGTGCTGGGCTGGCCCCTCTGGTGCAGAAAACACTTCAGTGTCCTGGCTGGTAAGGATGGGACTTTCTGTTTGTGTAGGTGGTGGGGTTTTATGTGGTAAGGTTTCCCCTGTCAGCCCAAGTGCTGCTCCATGTGACCTCCATCTCCTCCCTCTTCAGCCCCAGCCCTGCAGTTGCCTACAGCTCCTGGATTCTCTGCTCACTGCAGTAGCCTAGGTGAGGGAACAATCCATGCACTTCCAGATTCACACACTGCCTCTGGAGAGGCACGTGCTTCCTGAAGTGCCTTAGAACCCTCTAGGGTGCCTGCCTCTAGGACTTGGAAACATGCTTTTGTGCATATTCTACTTGGGTTTGTTAGGAGAGCACCTCCCTGCTGCAGCCAGTGGTGCAGTGGGTTTTGGGAACTGGAGTCGTCATTTTCCCAGCCTAGATGTATTTAACAATTGGTTGCAGCAACGGGTGTTTAATTCTCTTGCTAGCATTTCCAGGCCAGCTATTTAATTTTATTTTTTTCAAACCCTCTTGCTTCTGGAAATCCTGTAATCGAATCCAAGCTCTGTCAATCTAATTAGTTTTGAAGTGCAGAATCTCCATAACTTAGAGACCTAAATAAGCAGCTTAAAATGAAAACCTAGTTTCTCTCCCAACACGTAACACCGTCCTGTGTTCCCCTACTGAAATTCCTCCCCAACACCAGCCCACAGTGACTGCTCTCCTATCCCTCTGTTAACCTCCCTCCTCTCTTCCCCGGCCTCTGCCCTGGCTCCCTGTCCATCGGGAGCTGAAACAACCAGGCGCATCCCTCTGCTGCTCTGCTTCAAAGAGCCTTTCATGATGCTGCTTGCGTAAAAGATGCTGATGCTGCTTCAAATGCCAGCACAGAGCGGTCCAGGGGCGGCGTGGAGCAGCTCCTGGTGCTGCCGGGCTGGGCAGGGGGGCTGCACTTGGAGACTTCACAGTGACGTGATCGGGCCCTGCGTGAGGGGGATCACCAGGATTTATGGAGGCTGCACTCTTTGACTTTTTTTTTCCCCCAGTGGAAATGATGGTGCAAATAAAAGCAAACTCCAGTTCACTGAAAAAGCGATGTGCGTGTCCTCGGCTGTTTGCTGCTCAGCACGGCCAGAGTCCTTAGAAGCTGCAGCTGTAGGAGACAGGTGTTTCCCTGCTTCTCAGCCAGTTCTGCTCTTAGATTTCAATTTCTATTGTTTTGTTTGTGGTTTTAATTACTTGTTTTCAGTTGCTGCACTGTATTGTGGTTGGTTTTTTTTTTCAGTGCAAACCGACCCAAACAACCTTTCTGTGCTGCCGTGGGGTTTTGCTCATGAAGATCCTGACCTTGCCCTGCATTGATACGTGTCCCATGAGGGCCACGCAAGATTTGAATAAAGGCAGCAAACTTTCCCACCACCATGAGAAAAGGCTGTTATTTTCTTCACTTTTGCTCATCTTCCCCTTTTATCTTTTGTGGCTGTCTGGTTTTCCTGGGACTGACAGGCTCCACATCAGTGGGGAGATGTGTATCCACCGAGATCTCACTTGGCTCCCACAGCCCAAGGTGAAAGCCACGTGGCAGCGAGGCGAGCTCCCGGCAAAGCGAGCCTGGCTCCAGCAGGAGCTGGAGGGATTTGGGCATTTCTGCTTCGTCAGGAGGATTCTGGCCGTGAGAGTGTGCCCGGGGGAGCGCGGCTGAGCCGCCGGCCTTGGGGAAGGCAAGGCAGCAGGCCGGCTCTCTCTGTAATTGGGGGCAGTAACCAGCTGCCTTTGATGTCTGAGCCGGGCTGAGAAAACCTGATGGCAGACTTCAAAGTCTGTGTGCCAGCTCCCCTGATTATCTGTAGGCTTCTGGCGCGTCCCCCAAGACTGCCAGATTATCCCGGCTAATGCTGTGCTCTTCCACGTGTCCCCCCACCCTGCCTGGCGCCAGCCTCTTGCTTTCAGAGCTGCAGCTTCCATCCCTCCCTGTCCTTCTGCCTCTCCACAGTCACCACCGTGGGCATATTTCAATGGCATTTCTGGGTGGGAGACAGAGCTGCTGAGGAGAGCTTGCCTATAGCCTGCACCCCTGGGCTGCATTCCCCCTCCCCATTTGATCACAAGAGCAGGCTGAAATGTGGGGAGCTGTCTGCAGCTGCTCTTTGCAAGGCACAGAGGTGTTTCCACAGGCACTGGGGTGCCTTTCCCTGCCTTTCCCTTCCTTTCAGAAGCAGGGCTCCCACCCACGCTGCCTCAGGGCAGGATGACCAAGCTCAGGGGGGTTGGAAGGAGAGGCCTGTGTTGGTTTTTTCCCCTTCAGCCTCTCTGCTTGGACCTCACTGCCTGAGATGAGTCTCTGGCTCCTCTTGCCACCTGCTCTGGTGCCTAGGGAGCCCCAGGCTGCTGGCAGAGCTGTGCTGGGCAGGGCACTGCTGAGGGCTGGCTGGGATGGGGCGAGGAGGTGGCAGATCCTTGGGGCTGAGCAGAGGCCCTGGAACTCCTGCCTCTCCCAGAGCAGTTTGCTTTCACCTGGGATATTGCATAACAATGACAAAAGCCCATGGGGAAACTCTCCCTTTTATGAGCTAGGTTTTATTTCCTATCAATCAACCTTGAGCAATCAACCTTGGCAGTGGCTGAAAACCCTTCCTGTGCAAAGCTGGATTTGCCTGTGACACTATTTGAGGTCTGATCTCCTTTGGATGGTGGCACTTGCTGTGACTTTTCAGTGGAAGGCAGCAATGAATGTGATGGCTGCAGGCACAGGAAACCACAGCTTCCCTAACCCCAGGCGCCCACATGGGGTGAGAGAACTCATGGGAGACATAAAGCCAGACTGGGATCTGGGTTACAGCCTTTCCCTTGTGCTTGCTGTAGTATTTGGGTCTCAACAGACTCCTCCCCCTAAAAATAAACACTGTTTACTGGGTCACCTCCTTCATCCTCAGCAGCTTCCTCCTCAGCCTTTCTATCCTGATGTGGGGCTGATCCTGCCTGATTCCCATCTCTCCCCAGGCTCACTGCAGTGTGTAAGTTGAGTGTCTAGCCAAGAGGTCACAAAGTCACTGTGGATGTTGCTGATGGCTGTTCTGCTCTTTAAGGCAGAGCCTCCACCTCGCTGCACTGGGCTTGGTAAAACTTTCCATGCTGCATTTTTGGTGGCATTTTTCTGGAAAGCTTTGACCCAAAGTGGCTGAGCCCAAAAAGGGCACCTTCGAAGGGGTCCAGGGAGAGGCAGGAGGAAGGAGAATAATTATGGAGCGTGAAAGGCAAAGCCAGTGTTCTGGGCAGCCCAATCTCCAGCTGTGCTCTGGAGTGGGAGATACCTGTACCCTGCTGGGGTGTGCTGACAGGTGGCCCTGCTGTGGTGCTGGCAGTAGCCAGGCTGTTCCAGGAGCCAGAGGCCAAGAGTGTTCAATCCCTAAGAGCCTTCAGTTCACCAAGTGGAGTGCCTGGGCTCATGCACCATCTGGCTCAGAAGAGTCAAGTCCTCTGCTCTGTGCAGGTACAGGCAGGGACCCCCTGTGCTATCCAAAAAGCATATTTCCCTGTTATTTCCTGTCTGGTGTCATGCTTGGGAAAATAGGGCAAGGGAATCTTTCTCCCCATGGATTTGGACTCTCTGATGTGGCTTTTAATGGCAATTCTGTCTTTATAAAGAATTGTCTGATCCCCTTTCCTTCACTCTGCCCTGCTGTATGTCTGGTTGCACTGATTTCCCAGGGAGGAAGAGAGGGAGTTTTAGACTGTGCAGTCCCTGGAAGAGGGAGCTGTTGGTTTTGTCCACAGAGCATTATTATTGCCAGGGATAGGGCTGGGCCAGGCAATCCTGTTCTCCCCAGTTTCTCTACTGCAAATGTAAACTGCGACTCATGCATCATTAGAGTTGCAAGCTTGGAGTTAAACTGTCCCCGAGTGTGTGTTTATCTGCACATTGACTGTCAGAAGCTCACTGAGCTTGAACTCCAAGTTTCCTTTCCATTTACTCTGTCACTGTAGCAGAGATGCTTTTGATGCTTTTCCCTCCTCCAAAGTGGTAAGTGGGTTGGCTTGCTGTCAATGGGATGATCCCCCAGGGCACTGCTGGCAGTGGGTTGCTCTTGGAAAGCAAACCTCTCCATCCTTTTCCATCTTTTCCTTTTTTTCCATTTTCCTTCTGAAATGGGAAGGTTTAATCCTGCAGCAGGGAACCTAAGCCTGCCACACAGTTATGGCTCTGTGCATGGCTGTGCCCTGCTGCCACAGGGCACAGAGCCTCCTCGGGGTACATGTGGAATCCTGCAGGCACCTCTGCTTGCTGCCACAGCCCATGCCCTGGTCTGGATTTGGCTTTCTGGGGAGCTGATCAGGAGCCAGCTGATGGGGGGTTGAGCCTTGCTGCAAGGGCCTTCTGCCTGCACTTCCCAGCCCCTCAGGCTGTCATATGAGTTGGTTTTATAAATGGGGAAAGGAGGGACCTCATGTTTGTTTTGGGTCTTTACATGAATCTCATTCCCTCTAGATGTCCCCTGGGATCAAGCAAGAGGAGCTGTTTTATGGTTGGTTTTTGCTTGTGAATCCCTGAGCTAATTAAGTCATTCAGTCAATCCCTCTTGCAGCAGGAGCAGCATGGCTTAGGGAGAAATGCTTTGTGCCACCTGGGGAAAAAAAACCGACCCCAAAACAAAGAAAACCCCACCCCAAAAATCCCCCAAACAACAACAAAAAAAATCAAAACCACTAAACCAAAAAAAACCAAACAAATAATTTCAGCAGTGTCTCTGAGCCTGTCTCTAGTGTTTTGGCTACATGCCTCAGAGACTGGGTTTTCCCTGCACAGGATGTGCCCCTATCAGCCTCCCACCATGTCCCAGGACACCCCTGGCACCTGCCAGCAGGAGCAGAGGCATGTCCCAGGCAATGCAGCCACAGCACTTATCTCTGTGAATGTGCCAGCGTCCCCTGACCTCATCCCTGCAGTGCAGCTCCCTGTGGTCTCATTGCTCCTGTGAGAAGTGCTGGGCCAGGATCCCATGGGATGTGCATACAGGACAGAGTCCCTGGGCAATTCCTGGTGGTGATCCTTCAAGAGCCAACAAGGCAGCTGGACTGGCTGTTAGGATTCTCCTGACCACGCAGTGGAGGGGGTGGTGTGGGAGAGACACCCCATGCACCGTGAGGCAGAGCTTCATCAGCCATCCTTAAGGAACGCTGTGCCACCCTAGCCTGTACCTAAGGCATCATGCTGCTGTCTGCAGCCATGGGAAATAAATAGCTGGAGGAAACTTCAGTCCTAGAAATCTTCTTCCATCCCTTCCTGGAATCCAGCCCCTTGTCCCCTCCTCGCTGTTAGCAGGGAGAAGCTACTCTGTGCAGTACAGTGGGAGGAGTGAGATGGAGGTTTAGCCCATGGGCTGCTGTTGGACAGCAAAGCCACAGCCAGCAGGTGCCCACAGGTGGGCATCTGGCATGGGCACAGTGACAGAAGGGGCTTTGGGCATCGTCACGCTTACCCAGGTGGCCTGGGGACAGGACACTGGCTGTCACCTCCCAGAGGGTGTTGCTTTGCTGATGCACTCTGCTCCGTGACTTCTCCCTGCCATTCTAAGCAGAGGAAACCACCACTGACAGACAGTTTCCTCCCAGCCACCTTCTATTTAGCGGAGCGGCTGTTGCCATCGCCCATGAGAACCCACCACCGCCCCTCTGGGAGAGGATCCAAGCAGAGTGGATTCCCATGGGGCTGCCACAGTGCCTGGCAGCTGCCTTCCTCTTCCTCCTCCTCCTTCTCCTGGGTGAGTACCCTGCCCAGTGGCCAGAGCTTTCTTGGAAGTGTTGTGGGGAAAGCAGGGCATGGGGGGCTCAGCCAGCACTGCTGTGGCTCAGTTGCCATAGGAAGAGGTGCATCAGCATGTGCTCTTTTTGCACTGTGTTTTCACTCCAAAATGAGAGCCCAGACCCTAAGCGGGTTTTGGTGTGGGAACAGCCACATCCCCGTTGAGTGGCTGATTGCGGTGTGGAGGGTGTTACCTCGCTCCCTCTTCCATTGTGGGGGAATTTCTGAAGGTTTCCTAGGCAGTGCTGTCACCACCTCTCTTCCCTGGCCATCACGGCTGTTTTTTGGCCCATGTCCTGGAATGTCCTGTGGGCATTCCGCTTGGTGTGCATGCTGAGCATGCACAGAGTGAATGTCACTGCTGGGAGCTATATGGAAGGGGAGGGTCTGTGGGTGGCAATCCCCAGACCCTCTGCAAGCAGAAATGGAGGGAGCTCTTGATGCTTCCTGGTGTCCCCTGCCTGCAGAGTTGCTCTTGCTGACTCCCTCTCCTGTGCTGTCCTCTGTTTCTTCTGTGGAGCATCTCTGCAGCAGCCATCTCTACATCTCCTTCTCTGGCAGTGATCAGGTCTGACCCCTCCTCCCTGTCCCCCACACTTTCTGCAGGACCTGAGATCTTGGCCCACTTAATTTGAACACACCACAAGCTTCCTCCTTGATCTCAGCCTGGTTGCTGCTTCCTCTCCTGCTTGTGAAAGGCTCTTCAGGCACGAATGGGCTCAGCAGCCCTCTGGCCATGCAGCTCTGGTCTCTGTCGTGCGACCCCCGGTGTGGCAGGAGACAAGAAAGTTCAGGGCTCCGTAGTGACAGGACTTGTTCTTGTAACTGTACGCCTGCAAACACCGTGTGTGCTGACAGGTCTGAGCAGTGGCCAGCGGGTGGTGACTGTCCAGCGGGGACCCCTCTACCGCACGGAGGGGTCCCACGTCACCCTGTGGTGCAAGGTGAGCGGCTACCAGGGCCCGGCGGAGCAGAACTTCCAGTGGTCCATCTACCTGCCCTCGGCCCCCGAGAGGGAGGTGCAGATCGTCAGCACCGTGGACCCCTCCTTCCCCTACGCCATCTACACCCAGCGTGTGCGCAGCCGGGGCATCTTCGTGGAGCGGCTGCAGGGGGACGCTGTCCTGCTGCACATCACCGAGCTGCAGGACCGCGACGCCGGCCAGTACGAGTGCCACACGCCCAACACCGACGAGAGGTACTTCGGCAGCTACAGCGCCAAGATGAACCTCTCAGGTGTGGGATCAATCTCCTGACTGAGAGCCCTGTGGGGCAGGTCTCTACTGTCCCCACCTTTGCACTGGGGAGAAGAGCTCATCTGTCAGAGGGACAGCTGGGGGAATGGGTGGTTAGTGGGGCTGAGGTAGGTTTGTCCACGCATTTCCTGGTTATTGCCTCCCAGCCAGAGCAAGGGGAGGGAAAGGAAGCCTCTTCTCCCCCATGACTTCAGCTCCTGACACAGACACAGCATGTCGAGGCTGGGCACTTAGGAAGGCAGGAATTTCCAGGCTCTGTGCATTAACTGCTGTTGTCTTCCCAGGTTGGGGTGTGGGAATTGACCCAAGTGGGATACCCACAGATGGAGGGAGGTAGCAGTTCTTGCAGACAACTGGGGAGGAAGGCAATGGGGTGGAGAAACAGAGGGAAAGGCCATACTGTGAGCACACCAAGTCTACGTGGTGGTACGGTACTTCCACTCGGTGTTCAGCCCTGTTTTCTCCTTTATCTTGGTGTTGCACCAGTTTACATTTGGAATAGTGAGGGAATGGATTCTAATCTCTCTGGGGCTGCCTAACTGATACTGACTGTAGTTTGACTGAAGAGGGCACTGCAAAGAGATTCACTGTTTTTCTTGTTTGCTGAGGTTTTAGTCACTTCACACCTCAACATAAGCTGATGGAAGCCTTGTCAGTCAGCTACAGAAGATTTTTCTCCTGTGCTGTCAGGTCCCTTAGGCCGTGGTTGCAGTTTCTTGGGAGTTGTCCTGGGACAGGAGCTGGACTCAGCAATTCTTGTGGGTCCATTTCAGCTCAGGATATTCTGTGATTCTGTGTTTCTCCCCCATGCTCAGTGATTCCAGACACACTCTCGGCTTCCATGGCCCCCCAGGCCCTCACTCGCATGGAAGGGGATGCGGTGGAGCTGACCTGTGAGGTGTCCAAGTCCACGGCCCAGCACACCCATCTCTCAGTTGGCTGGCACCTTCTTCAGGGAGGAGCAGGAGAGCACCGTGCCAAGGAGATCCTCACCCTCTCCAAGGACTTCATCCTGAAGCCAGGGCCCTCCTATGAGCAGAGGTTTCTGGAGGGGGATGTGCAGCTGCACAAGGTTGGGAACAGCACCTACAAGCTTGTCATCAGGAGGGTGAAGCCATCTGACCAGGGACAGCTGTACTGCGAGGCAGCCGAGTGGATTGAGGATCCTGACGAGACGTGGAAGGACATCTCCTGTAAGCAAACAGAGAAGACTTCGCTGGCAGTTGTGAGCCAGGGTAAGGCCTGTGCAAACTCTCGGGTTTTCAGACTCCCCTGTGCATTCAAGGCTCTACAGCAGATTTCACCGCCTCTGATGCAGCCCAGGGCCACACTGGTGGGTCTGGCTGGACACCGAGGGGGTGGACTGGGCTCAGGGCCACGGCAGCCCCTGGTCCAGGAGCTCTTGGTGCTTTGGCTGCTCATGCAGCCCAATCTCTGACACCAGCAGCAAGCCCACAGCCTCACAGACCCGTGTGAGGCGCTGGCAGAGGCCACAGCACGTGCCCACAGCAGCCTGGATCATCCTTGGCAGCCCTAAATCCTCCAGTGTGGGGAAATCCGGGGCTGTTTCGCTGCCTCGAGGCTCTTGTGGCCTTAAAAAAGTGCTCCTCAGTCAGCTGCCCATCCCTGTGCTACAGCCACAGGCACGGAGGGAGACGGGGATGGCCTGTGTGTGCTGCAGGCCTCTTGTTGGGGCTGGCTTGTCTGTCCCCGCTGCCACCAGCCCGCTGGTTTCCAGAGCAGCTGGTGCTGCTGTTCATTAGGCCATTCCTCTGAGCACCCTGCCTGCCACCCCTCCTGCCACACGCCTTTGCTGGCTGTGGTCCCTCACCCTGCTTTTCCCCCAGGTGTGTGGGAGTGCCCAGGGGAAGGGAGAATCTCTCTCTCTCTCACCACTAAGCTTTAGCTCAAAGCAGCCAAGAGAAGGTTGTGGATAGTTGGTGTCCTTTAACATAGCGTGCAGTGAAATTGGAGCAAGTCTCCCGCTGAGAGCCTGCCTGTGGAGGTGGTGTACGCTGTCCCCACACCTCAGGGTGGGTGAAGGAGGCCACAGAGCAGAGCTGGGGCAGTGAGGGGAACTGATGTCTCATGGCAGGGTGGTGAGTCAGAGCAGGAAACCAAAGAAACAGCGCTCGTATGTGGCTCAGGGGAGCAAGGTATCAGCAGGAGGGGAAGGGAAGTGTGGTCTCTTGTCAGTCTGCTTCCTGAAACCTGTCTGACAGGCAAAGCTTTATTCTTTCCCCTCACTGTGCACTGTGTGCAGCAAGGGCTTTCCAGGCCTGCTGTTGCTTGGGGAGCAATGGCAGTCAATGCACTTCCATGCATCCTCTTGTTGAAGAGGGCTTGTCAGTGTTTGGATTCAGGCCTCAGAGCCATGGGATCATTTAGAAATAGAGAAGCCTTGTCAGGGCTTGGTATTTGTCCCATGGTAACTGTTAGAGGTAGGAGGGAGGTGATGGTGACAGTATTGATGCTCCTGGTACTGCCATGGTGGGACAGCAGTGGCTGTGCAAGCCCTCCATCAAGGATGCAGGGCTGGTTTCTTCCTCCAGCATCCAGTGGGGGAGCCCAGGCTGCAGGGCTGAGCACCCCATCGCTCCCAGAGCCATCGACCACTCTGACCGTGGCTAACTGCTCCGTCGGTTTCTGTAAACTCTGTTGCAAATATTTAGGAATGCCACACATATCTGCAGCAGCTGGGATTCCTGTTCACAAACTGTTTATGAACCAGTGTTTAAATTCACAGGGTACTCATTTCCAATAAATTATTTGAGCCCTTCCAGTTGTGGTCTGGGAGTTGCTCTGTTTTACTTCCAAACCACAGCATGTAACCTTTCCCTTGTTTCGAGTCTCAGGGGGCACCACAGTGACCCAGGGAGACAGAGTGGGGTGAGCCAGGGAATCTGGGCTCAGTCCTTCCTCCAGCTTTTGGCCATGCCAGTGCTCTGTGAGGTCATGGCACAGGGTTTTGGGGTACCCAGTGGGTCTCCTGCTTGCAGCCACTGTCCAGCCAGGCTGATGCCAGGAACCAGGGGGGTGAATGCCCAGCGAGGAAGGTGAATGGTATCACAGGACCCAGAGATGGGGTCCTCACCTCAGACACAGCTGACTGACTGCCCAAGAGGGTCTGCCAAGGGGAAGAAGACTTTAGGTTCCCCCTGTTACTGCCTTCTTTGCAATTAGCACCTACTGCTAATTGTTATGGGGGGAAGGGTCCACCTCCTCTTGCTTCCTTCCTGCCTCCCCATGCTGTGACAAGTCTTGATATTTCTCCTTTCTGTAGGAACTTAACCCAAATCCTCTCCAGCTTGGAGAGCATCTCTTGCCTACAACCCACAGTAGCCACTGGTGGCTTCAGCATGCAGGAACAGCCACAGTAGATTCAGACAAGCCGCTTGAATGCCAGCCCTTCATGCACTTTTTTCTGCCACAAGCAGCAGAGTTCAAACCACCACTGTGATGAAACCCCTTTGTGCCCCTTTTTAGCTTACAGGATAGGTGTTCCATGAGGGAAAACAGCTCCAGGAGGGTGAGACAGAGCAGCACCTGCAAAAGCTGATGCCTCTGAGTTAGGGCAGCCCTCATTTTGGATGCCTGAGCTGAGCAGGGGCTGGCTGTGGCCAAAGGCTGTCCCAGTGGATGCTCTGCTCTGTTGGGTTTATCTACTCTTATCAGGGGAACTCAGCACCCCGGGGCTCTGGCACTTCCTTCACCTGCAACTGCTCCCCCCAGGGTCAAAGTTTTCCATCCCGATCCCTGTTCTTGTGAAAGAAAACGTTTTCACAGAGAATTCCCTCCTGTTGCCCTGTGCAAGGCCAGGAGGGAAGCACGGGCAGGACCACCCACCACCCTCCTTGTTTTTGATTGCCCACAGGCAGAGACCTCTCCGTGGACATCGCCGCTGCTGAGCGCTCCCTTTCTGAAGGGGACACCCTGCAGCTCACTTGTGTGGTGGGAGCCCCAAAGAACAGCAGCAGGCACTTTAAAGTGATTTGGCTCCTCAATGAGATGGAAGTGGCCAAGGTTGACCCCCATGGGGTATTGATTTGGGAGGAAGGATACCAGGAGAGAGCCAAGCTGGGGCAGCTCCGAGCATTCAAGCCAAGCAACGCAGTTTATGTGCTCAGCATCTCTGAGATGGGGCTGGAGGACAAGGGCACGTACCAGTGCTCTGTGTCGGAAATGAAGACTCCTGGAGACTTGCACAGCATCCAGACCAATGTGTCATCAGGCATACAAGTCAACGTGAAGCCAGTAGGTTAGTAAATCCTAACAGCTGCTCTTCTGGGTAAAGCCTGCAGGATCCTTGGCTGGAGAATGCTTTAGGTCTGGCCTCATCTTGACAGGGGCAGCAAGAGTGCAAATGTGCCATATGGTTTTTGATAGATAATGGGAAAAGCATTTGCTTTAGCAAATATTAGCATGACAGACACAGTAGCTGTCAAGAAAGTGTAAACCTTTAGACCAGTCTCTGCAGTAAATTTTGGGGAAAATAGGTAGAATTCTGAGGAGTCCGTGTCATCCTGTATCTTTGGTACTGAAAACTGTGAGCAACATCTGCTGCTACTCCTGAAAATCACAGGAAAACCCAGCAGAACAGGTATGTATGGGGGCGGGGATCATTGTCATTTCCATCAGGGAAATGATGAATGAACTCTCCCTGTTTTAGATGGATGATTTGTGACAAACCACTCTAAGAAAAGTGTGTAGGAGGCTCTTGGTTTCCTTGTCATAACTAGATAATGGTTATTCTGATGTAGCAGGAGCTGCCTGCTGGGACTCTGTTTCTTAACTAATTCTTTATGTATCCACATCCCAAAGAAAGACATTAAGCAGAAAAAAACCCAACAAAACAAAACAGAAAAACCACAACCGCAAAGCCTTCTCCAAATCCACAGGGAAAGGCTGGTTGAAAATTTCAGGCATTTCCCCAACTCCTTTCCTTTCCAACATCAAGATTTATCTAGTCTTTCACTCGGCCCTGCAGTGCTTCAGTTTCCCCATTTCTACCAGGATGCTAGAGTCCTCCACGGTGTGTTTTGGGACAACAGCTGAAATGCTGGGGGACCTGAAGGGCAGCATCTTGCTCAGCAGGCCTTTGTCCTTAAGCTGAAATACAAAATACCTATTCTAGCAGCATAATTACTTGCAGTAATCAAGTTCAACAAAGCTACTTGCTGAGTTTTCTGGTGGTATTGATCAGATACACCCCTGCTGCTGGTTGCTTCCCCTGCCCTCTTCTCTGAGTGCAGAGCCTCTAACCTCCATGGTGTGCAGTGACCATGTCCTTCCTTCTGGGGTGCCTTTATGGAGAGGCAGCTTTTTGGCTGTGATTTGGCATGGTTCTCCTTTCTTGTTGCTGGGCTGGGTGCCTGAGAGCACCAGTCAGGCCACAGGAATTGTTAAGCTTTAGTGGAAGGAAGCAGCAAACAGGAGAGCAGCATCAGCAGAGGATCCCTGGCTCTTCTGGTGTAGGACTGGGGACCCTAGAAAAGAGGATACACAGAGTTTTCTGGGAAATTGGGGGGTGGGAAAGTGGGAGGTAGGAGAGGGCCAAGGGCTGCATGGGGTTGGCAGAGCACAGTGGAGAGCAGCGCTGGCAGAGGAGCAGCAGCAGTGCTGGTGCCATGGCCCTGGGGTGCCCAGGGCTGCGTGGGTGGGGTGGCACAGGGCAGGACTTCTGTCCCCATGCCAAGGGCTGTCTCCTCCCGAGCAGGTCTGGGTCTGCACGCCACGCTGAGCAGCCGAATTGCCACCGTCACTTACGGGCAGAGTTTTGAGCTCTTCTGCCAAGTGAACGCCAGCTACACCCTGGAGGAGGTGCCAGCGTCTGTGAGGTGGCTTTTCCAGCCCAGCCTGCCCACGGGTCCCTTTCAGGAGCTGGTCAGGGCCTTTCCCAGTGGCACTGTGGTCTGGGGGACAGCACAGCCACACCTCCAGGGGAAAGCCCAGCTGGTGAAGACTGACACCTCCTTCAGGCTGCACATCCACAGCGCCTTGCCTGCCAACGAGGGGACGTACCAGTGTGAGGTGGAGGTCTGGAGAAGGAACATCCTGCCCCTGGGGCAGCCAGCAGCCAGCACCAGCTCCAATGCCGTGGGAATAAAAGTGGTGCTGCCAGGTAAGCAGAGCCTTCAGCAGAGGTCTCTCCTGCAACTTTAAATCCAGGGCCACTGATGTCTGGAGTGTCCCCAGCAGGGTCACCTCCCAGGGCTGCAGGAGATGGTGCTACCTGTTCTGGTGCTTCCTCAGCTCCTGACAAAACCTTGGGGACAAATTTGGTGTTGATGAGCAGCAGTATCTCTTTGTTTGCAGATTACACCAAGCACACAGGGATCAGCCTTGCCACTAGGATTTTAAGCCTGGTTTCTGGAAAGAAGCAGTGCCCCCCCAGGAAGCCCAGCTGAATGTTTGGGGTGTGAGGTAAACCCCATGGTGTGGGTTTCTGGGAGGCAGTGGAGACAGACCAGCCCCTGAAGCTGATGCTGGGATATGTCTGTGTTCCCTGACCAGAATATTCAAGGTATGCAGAGAAAGCACCAGGCCTCTCTGCCGGGCTGGGAGCCAGCACTGAGCCTCAGGGTGCCAGGGACTCGGTGGGGAGGAATCTCCTCCCCAGCACGGCTGGGGCTCTGCCCAGGGTTCCCTTTTATGGCCACCCCTGCAGGCAGGGTCTGTGCTGCCATCCCTCCTGCCAGCATCCCGCTGGGAGCCTGGTCCTCTTATGGAAGAGAGATGCTGCAAGCAGACCCCACCACCCTGCCATGAGCCTGCTCCCTGCCGTCCCTGGCAGCACCACGGTGTCAGTGTGCCCTGCTCGCAGCTGGGGCTGCTGCAGGAGCTGGGGAGTTTGTCCTGGCCTCTGAGCCTCTGGAGGCAGGCCTGACAATATGGGCTGGTTTAGGGTTTTTTTGCCCTTGTGTCTGTTCTGCCAGCAAAGGAGAGTTCTTGCTCTTTTTTTTTTTTTTTCCCCCATGCATTAAGTGCTCCTTCCTCTAAAATCCTCGGATTTCTAGAATCCACAACCCAGTGAACTGAAATTATGCATTTTTCATGTTTTTTAACTGATGGATTTGCTGTGGCATAAGCTAATACATTTTCTTCCCTGTCTGGGCTCTTTTCTCTGGTGCTCTCTCCCGTTCCGCTGTTATTCATTCCTCGCCCCTGTGGAGCTGACTGCTGGGATGCTCTGTTGAACACTGGAGCTACCACCAGCTGGGGCAGGGTGGCACTGAGGTGACAACAATCAGCACCTTTGGGCACACATCTCTAGTGCAAATGGCACTAAGATGAGCAGGCCTAATGGCAGAGCATCCACACAGAGGAGATGGTAGCAGCGTGAGAATACAACATTTGGCTCCAAACGTGCTGCAGCTGTTGCTGGAGACTGTGGTGCTGTAAAGAGTGGAACTGGGAGACGGTGATGCACAGTGGGAGGTCCCTGCTGGCTCTAGTGACACCTCCCTTGGAAAGGCAGCAGGAGCCAGTGAAGGATATTTGGGAGGGTCGGGAAGTCTGGGGAGGAAGCCGGCTCAGGCAGCAATGGGGTTGGGGTGAAGCTGCAGAAAATGAAGCTGCAAATCATGAAAATCACCAGCCTGCTTCTCCTCTTATAAAACCTTATAGCTGGAGCCTGCAGAGATACTGGAGTTCTTGACTTTTTGCTTCAGCGCTTTGTTTACTCCTTGATATTAGTCAGTTCTTTAGGAATTTACATGTTGCTGTGGTCTGCAGGCCATCTTCAGATAGGAGGGGCATCCATGAAAGATTTTAACGGGTGGGGAAGGAGGAGAGATCTTTTCCCTTTCCAATATCTTACGTGGGATTTCATTATTAGTGCTCCTTGAGCCTCTCGGTGCAGCTGCTTCCCCCACTCTGGGGTGAGCTGCAGGGGCTTTTTCACCTTGTGTCCCTCAGGCCAGCAGCCCACATGGGCTGTGCCCTTCTGCCTGCTCCACTGCTCCTGGGCCAGGCGGAAAACCAAGCATCAGCAGGCAAGGTTCACAGGGAGACGGGTGGTGAGATGCTCAGCTCGGTTAATTGAATTGAAAATGAAAGGGAAAACAGCACCATGGCTTTATGTGAGAAAGGAAGAGGCAGGCAGCTGCTCTGCCCTTTTGGTAATTGATCTTTAGCAGTAGAGAGAGGAGGTAAAACAAAGGGGCTTTGCAGCAAGTGCTCTGCTTCCTCTTGAGGTGATCTCCGAGAGTGTAACAATTCTCCTCATCAAAATCAAGCACTCAAGGCAGTGGTTCCTGTGCCTCCTCTCTGAGCTCTAGTAGCTTTTCCTTCTCTGGAGCATTTTCTGCCTCTGAAAGTGTCAGGCTAGGCCACACTCAAGCAAGACCCTACCTGCCCCCTTGTCCCCTGGCAGTTCAGTGACTGGCTGAGTGGGATCCTTGGTACTGAGCAGATGAATTAAGAATTAAGTATCTTATTTTTTCCAGTGTGATCACTTCACCTGTGACAGAAACACAGGATGGTGGAGATTGGCAGGGACCTCTGGAGGTCACCTGGTCCACCTCCCTGTGCAAGCAGGGCCACCTAGAGCGGGCTGCCCAGAACCATCTCCAGATGGCTTTTGTGTCCTCCCTCTGAAGATTTGTGCTCCCACAGAGCCGGCTCTGGGATGGGTATGCTTTTAAGCACTGAAGTTTAAGATATCAACTTGCATCTAGCTGCCAGGTGTGCTCAAGTCTGTGTGAATTTCATGGTGGATCTGATGAATTTGCACAGTGCCCTAATTAGGGTGACTACTGTCCCCTCTCTTCTGCTTTTTGCCCATAACTGTTTCTTCAGAGCAGTAAATACACACTGTGAAGTGCAGGACAGCACTGTGATCCCTTGGGAGCATCCACCTCCCAGACATCCTGGTGAGTGCTGCTGTGGAAATCCTCACCACTAAAGTGAGGCAGTAAGCAGATACTGGGACTCATGCAAGTGCCCCTGTGGAGGAAACCACCAACCCTTGGGTGAAAATGTGTTTGTCTGCAGAGAGAAGGAAGAGTAATGGGTTACAAAGAAAAAAGAATAAGCAGGGAGGGTTTTGTTGGTGGATTTCACAAAGAGGCAGAGGTTCTACAGAGATGTAAAGAGATATCAGTTGGGATATTTTGCTTTGACCAGTCTCAAGACAGGCAGTGAAGGCCTCTGAAATGGATTGCTTGAGTTTTGAGAAGAAATGCTTGAAGGAAGAGGAAATGTGCAAGCTTTCTCCTGCAGCGTCTCTCTTTCCCCTCAGCTTCTGTGGGAGAAGCTGCAGCACCCTCCTGTCCCAAAGCCCTCTCCACAACCTGCTGCCATCACATCCCTTGGGAGAGGACTGTGAAGGAGAGCCTGTGGCCAAGGGCAGGGGTCTGAGACATTCTGAGGGACCATCTCAGTGTGTCCTCTGCTGCCTGTCCCCAAATCAGCACCCAGGGGCTGAGGTTTAAGGAAGCTCAGTTGTCCAAAGCCTCTGTGGCAGAGGGTGTCCTGCTGCTCAGCTCATATGCAAGGAAAGTGCTAAGAATGGAAACTCAGCCTATGGCCCCCTAAAACCCCGCTGGTGTCTCCTGCTGAGTATTTTCTCCCTACCCAAGGGTGGATCCCTGTGTGCTTTCCTTCCCCTGACTGCTGTCTCCATCTGACAGAGGTGGAGTCTCAGCATGGAGGGGAGGGTGGAGGGGAAATGCAGGCAGTTGGAGGACCTTTACAGATATGGATTTGCAGCTTTCTCACTGCTGGAGGAGAGGTTCCAGCAACAGGTGATGCACTGTGGGAGGAGGTTCCCTCAAAGCAGGAGCAGCACAGACACATCAGGATCAGTGATGCCTGCTGCCGAGGCAGCACCTTCCCTCTGCTCTCCTCAACTGCACAGCACTGAACAATCACTGGGTGTGACCTCAGAGGGTGTGCAGGACTGTGCTGTGGTTTTGGATTAATAACCACATCTGAGATGGCAACTGTTAGTGAGACCCACAGAGGCTCTGTAGTCTCTCAGTGATAAAAGACACTTGTTCACAGTCTCCAAAGGTGTGGGCTGGTTTTGTCACATACGTGTGAGCCTGCTGATGGAAGCAGTGGTAGACAGACACATTTGCTTCAGACAGAGGCTCTCCCTCCAAGCTCCAACACAGTGGCTGCCTCTATCCCCCATTCCTGCTCCCTGGCCTCCAAGGCACCTCCTCTGCTACTCTCCTTCCCAGTAACACCCAGCTGTGGTTCCCTGCTATTGTTTGAACAAGGGTGTGTGGATTTGTTCTTCCCCTCCTTCCTTCACCCTCTGCTCCAGCATCCCCATACATGTCTTTTGTCTGTGCACTCTCTTCCTTACTTCTCTTTCAGTGTGTTTCTCTCAGGACAGCTTTATTCCTCTCCTTGTCAGTATCCCTGTGCTGGCATGACTGTTTTCTTTCTCCATTTCAGAAAGCAAGCTTCGGGTTGCTACGCAAGACAGCTCTGTGGAAATTGCCAGTGGTAACGCAGCCATTGAGTGCAGGGTTGTGTTTGCCCCGAAAAATTCGCAGTTTGCTGTTACCTGGTACCTTCTGCCTCCTCTGGCAGATGCGGCGCCCCTGCAAATCGTCAGGGCCAGCTACAGCAGCATACTGGAATACGGGTCTGAATTCAGCTCTCCTGCACAAAAGTCCCGGTTCCTGAGCCAGAGGGTGTCCAGCAACACATTCCAGCTGCAGATTCTGTCTGCAAACCTCGGGGACCAGGGCAGGTACTACTGTGTGGTAGAGGAGTGGCTCTGGCTGGTGGATGGCTGGTACAAGCTCGGAGAGGGAGCATCGGGAAGGACCACGCTGAGGTTCAGACTCCCAGGTGAGCAGGTGTTGTCCCTTGTACAGGTGCTGCTGAAGAAGGTTGGATCAATTCATGACAGACCCCTGCCAGGCCTCTCCTAAGCTGGCAGGGCTTAGGAGAAGCAGAAGCTCCTGTGCTGGATCTGAGGCTTAGGGATACAGGAGCTGTCAGTGCCTCTCAAAGGGAAATAGGGAATTAGGAAGATTTACCACATCCTCCCAAACCACCTGAGCTGCTCTCTTTGCTACTGGCAGATGTAGTCAAATGCTTCATAACAAAGTGAACTGTGACCTTTTCCTTTTCCCTGCAACACCTGGTGCACTTGGGTGGCTGTACAATGCTGTTGAATAGAGAAGCAGCCCTTACCTGATGCTCCTGAGCACCCTGAAGGAAAACACTTGGTTTTCCTTACCCTGCAGCACACTGCTGCTAAGAAACAAGACTGGAGATTCAGCTGCTCTCACCTTAATCACTGCACCTCTGGGGTGCATGGTGGGTCTCCCTGGATCAGTTCTTCCCTCCCTCAGCCTCACTCCAGCTCTAAATAAAGTGGATCAGAGAATTCCAGCTTCCTAAATAGCTGTTGGTCTAAAGGATGCCTTTATCACTTATTTGGAGGGGGTAGGAAGTATTATTGCATGGGGGACAGAGATGATGGGGAAGGTGGGGACACAACTCCCCAGGGAGAATGGACAGGAGCAAGGGGCCTTTGTCTATCCAGCAGAGGCTTCTGCAAGAGGCCATTCCAATCCCTCACCCTTTGCTCCAGAAGGTTCCTATCAGCTTGTGGGTGCAGGCAGAAGCGGTTTTTACAACAGTACAACACCACAACATCTCTTTCTGCTTGCACTCTTCCCCCAGAGCGCGAGCTGCAGATGGAGAGAACCAACCGCAGCATCTCCGCGAGGGAGGGCGAGGAGGTGACGCTGCCCTGCCGGCTGCAGGGTGCCCTCCTGCCCGGCACACACCTCTCAGCCACCTGGTTCCAGGTGGGGAGCAGTGGTGGTGACAGCTGCCTGCTGACCCTGCACCACGATGGCACCGTGGGGTACCCGCAGGAGCGCCTGGCAGGGCGGCTGTACCTCCGCCGCCCCTCCGCTGGTGACTTCAGCCTGACGCTGCTCAGCGTGGAGAGGGGAGATGCTGGGGCCTATTACTGCCAGCTGCAGGAATGGCAGCAGCAGAGTGAGGGGAAGGACTGGGCTCTGCGAGCCTTGGCACGCTCTGGGTACACCCAGCTCGTCACCATCCCGCCAGGTAACGCTGCTGGGTGCCAGGGGCTGATCACCCTGCATGGCTCATCCTCCCATAGCCATGCTGGGGCCAGAACCAAAATGTTTTGGGGGGAAGATTCTTGGGGTGACCTCTCTGGCAAGTCTGTCTAGACTGAGGTCTCTAAAACCAGCCTCTGTTCCCTTTGGGGTGAGTGGGGGTGCATGTTGGCTGCAAAGGTAGGACTGGATTCTGCATGCAAAAGTTTAAGTAAATGAAAGCAAAGGTTTCAGTCAGGTGCATGCGGCATTTTTCGGAAGGTAATACACGGGAGTTGTTGCTGCTTTGGGAAAATAGGAGGCTCAGATGACCCATGTGAAGGAAAAAATATAAACTGTGAAATCAATCACGATGCACCCAGCTGAGAGGATCTTGCACTTGTACCCTCCTTCAGCCCTGGAGCTGCCATGCCTGAAGCCAGCCTGGGTGCCTACACAAGTTATGGCTTCTGCAGGACTTCCTAGTGCTGGCCAGCATGGAAAGGGTGACCCTGCAGAGCCCTCCCCTGTGCCTCCCACAGCCAGGCACAGAGCCTGCTCCCATGACTTTGCACCTACAGCAGAGCTAATCTGGGTTTAGCTGCACAGAGAGGGACTGACAGCACTTCATCCTCCCTGCTGTTGTGCTGCTGCTGTTTTCCATCACAGTTCTCTCCAGCACTCAAGACTTCTCCTTCATCATCTCCCTCTATCTCTTGTTACCCATTACTGGTAGAGTAACCATTGCTAAAATTGCTCAGTAACTGCTAGTAAATCCTCCTCCAGTTTTTGAATTAGTGTTTTTGCCAAGTGGTTTTCATGGTTCTCACAAATGGCAAAAGATTAGCTGGGTGGTTTTTCTTTATCCCTCTCTATTTAATTTTTTTATTTTTTGGAAGGATGGCTATGTGTGTGTATGTCTGTTCCTCCAGTGATGCAGGAATCTTTCAAGTACCCAGCAGCCTGCACCTCAGCTGGGGAGCTGCTCTGCAGGAGCTGCCAGGGATGAGGATGGTGCTCACGGCTGCCTTGGGGATGAAATACAATAGCAGAACAGCAGTAACGAGGAGGGGCAGGTGTCTGGGTGGGAACAGGGACCTCTTGATCTGGTTCCCTTTGCTTTCCTCTTATCCCATCTTGCTCAGTGGTGCAGCCTCTGACAGACTTGCACCTCATCCCACTGTCACTGGTGTCAAGCAGGGTGTGTTGCTTTCCCTTACTGAGCCCAGTCTGGAGCGGGTTAGCAGAAGAACTGGGTGCTTTCTGTTGATATGTTTCAGATGAACAGATCAGGGCCTTATCTGACCTCCCCAGACAAGAAATAGAGGCAAATTGCCTGGTTTCTCTCCCTCTTCTCCTCAGTTAGCCTGTATGAATTCTTAAAAATTATTAGCTGTTGAAGACTCAGGTTAAAGCTTTAAGAAAATAGAACTTAGACAAACAGTAGGGGAGAGAAACTCAAACTAGCTTGGGCCTGACTTTTTATTTCTTTTTTCCTTCAGAGTCAACTGTTTTGTCTAGGATCTGCTCATCCCCACCACTGCTGAACTTCATCTTATACTTACCATTGGTTCTGATCCTTTTCCTGGCCCTTGCTGGCTTCTGCTGGTACTGCAAATCCAGGAAAAACAAGAAGGGCAACATCACAGGATGGATGATGGAACTGGAAGGGAAAGAAGAGGTCAAGAAAACTTAGCTGGTCTGTAGAGGCAGATGTAACTTGGAGGAGCAGAGCTGGACAGCTGAGGAGGACTGAGCACTTGCAGAGGAGCTTTTTATGGTTTTGTAGTAACTCTTGCAATAAATCCTTGAGATTGTGTGTTTGCTTTTGATGGAACGAAGCAGCTTTAGAATTACTGAGCAAACAGGGTTTCCCTAACAAGTGTTTCTGTCCTTTAGGTTAGATACTCACCCATTTCCTACTCTGTTTGTTGTGGTACATTTGAGGTCCCTGCAGTATGCATCTCCCACTGTGGATGGAAGTGGTGTTATTCCCCTGCAGGAATAAGGGAAAAAACAGCTCTTTCTGCGCTGTTCAGAGAGTGCCTGTGCTCCAAGAACATCATCTCCAAAATGAAATGGGTCTTCATCACAAAACCTGTCACAGGAGCATGAGGACTGAGCAAGGCTGGCTGGGCCTGAACAAAGTCCAGAGCATAACCATCCACAAAAAAAAAAATCCTGTTGACCCAGTAAAGGATTTTCAGGGAGTCTTGGAGCCCACAAGGAAGATGTGGACACCAAACCATCTCAGAGATGAGGGTACAAAGTTCCCAGCTCCTTCCTTTGCTTCCGCTGTAGGAGAAGACAGCATCCAGCCCCTGGTACCTGTGCTGTCTGTGGGTCAGGAAGCTGAGACCTGGTTAAAGACACATCCAGGTTGTCCCATGTAATAAAAAAGCCATGCCTGTTCTTGTGGGGCAGCTCCTCTATACTCTGGAGTCCAGCTTGGGCTCACCTTTTCAAGGCTGAGGAGCTTTGCTATCTGAAGAGTGTCTTATGCGTGGAAGAAAGGAGATTTCTATCCAGTCCTGATAAGCCAAGGGATATTCCACCCCTAATTGTGCAAAATGGGATGTGGTCCCAGGGATTTGGAAGGTCAGGTATCAGAGCAACACTCTAAGCACTGTCCTCAGACCAAAGTAGCTTTATAGAAACCACAGCAGACTTACAAACCTGCTTCCTGTGACCACAGAGAGATTTGGAGACACCACAGCCTGTCTAGATGATCTGTTCTTTCACTTTCTTTGCAATTAGGAAAGCTGCCTGGCTTTATCCTGAAGAACTGGCAGGTGCTACAGTCCCTTGAAAATGCAGTTTTTGCACACATCTGAGGATGACTGCTCCTGTTTCCCTGTTCAGCCACCTCTGTCTGTGCTGGCTGGTTCCAGCTTGCTCAGTCTTTCCCTGCAGGATGTTTTCTGGACCCCGTGCAGCTTTTCCCTTTGCTGTCCTGACCCCAGCTGCCTCTCCCACAGCGTGAGTGCTCAGAGCTGCACGTGGGGCTCTCTGCAGAGGTTTCCCCCCTGCCTTGTGGGTTATGTGCTGTTTACACATCCCACTGGGATGTTTGATGTTCTCTTTGCGTGTGACAGCGCGCCACTGTTTGTGCTTGGCTCGTGATCCTCGGCCTCCTCTCCTGCAGATTTGCTGCCTGGCAAGTTGTGTCTCCACTTCATGTTCAGGCTGTTGACTTCTCCTCTCTGAATGAAGCCCCATTTCCATGGGGGTGTCGAACAGCTTTCTGCAGCAGTTTGTGGAAGATCCTGCCGTCTGCCTTAGCCCTGTCTCAGTAAAGCTTTAACTCACGTGCCGGTTTCTGACTGTTTGACAGAGAAGCAGATGCTCCCAGGATATTAAACTCCTACAGGTTTCATGGAAATGGTAGGTGGATGAAGGAGAGGGGGCAGGCGAGTTGTGCCACCAAGGGAAGGCTGCAGTGTGACTTGACCACCTGGTACCTGGCTTGTGTTTAGGGGATATGGAAAGGAGATGTAAGTGTACTAGGGTGTGGAGAAGGAAAGAAGGAACTGCTTTTGGCTATCAGCTGTTAACAATAAATCTGTGCACGTAGCTTATCTGCTAATTTTGTGCTGTTTACCCAGGTTTGCATTTGGCTTGTTTCCTTAGTTTGCCCAAGAATACCTTGGGAGCCTACTCCACGAACCTTGGTGAAGTCAAGAATGTATGATGCCTTATCCCTTCTCACAAGGTCTTATTGCAAGGGAGATACATCTGTTTTGTTCAAAACAAACAAAAAAAAAGTAGTGGGTTGGCTTTTTTCTTGCATTCTTTTTAGTACTTTTGACTGCTTTGTCCCTGTATCTCCCCAGGGATTATAGTTAAAAAGATGGTGTTCAGTTTCCACTTCTTTTTAAACAAATTTTTGCCCTATTCGCCTCACTTGGTGTCTCACACTTCCTCAGATATTACCACAGCAAACTACTAATAGATGTCTTGACAGCCCATTCTTTATGTGGCTTAGGATGAGCCTCATCATGACCATCTTCCCAGTCAAAAATCTGAATTATTTAGGTCGCTACTCATTAGCAGAGTGCTAGGGGTGGCCCCTACCCTGCTGTAGCAGTCCCATGTGTGTGTCAGCCTCCAAAAGCAGTGTGAGCTCTCTGAGTGACCTGGGTTTGGTACATCCCCCAGAATTGTGCTGTTCCCCTCACTCAGCCACCTCAGCAGCCCATGGCAGGTCTGTGGAGGCATCTTTCCTGCCATCTGATCTGCACACAAAAAGCTGCAGATGGCTGCAGCACGAGATTTTTGTGTCTGGTGGACTGGGGGGGAAAAGGTGGGCGAATAGAGGGAGGTTTCTCCACCAACAGGGCACTTTCTTCTTCTGTGCCATTTTTGCTGAGTTAACCAGAGCCCCATAAATAGCAGCTTTTTATTCATGCAGGTGTAGAGGTTTTAATTTAAGTTTGTAAGTGTGGCTAGGGCCTTGATGAAGGGGTCTGCAAGGAGAATGTATGTTTTTCCAGCAGGGGGCTTTTCCCCCTGTTTTTTCTTCTGGCTTTGCTGGGTCACTGCCAAACCTTTCAGCTAAATGTTTAAGATGTATTTTTTTCCATGAGCGAACTTAGAGTTGTAACTTATCACAGCAAAAGCTCCAAAGCCGTCCTATTTTTAAAGAGAGCCAATTCAGCCTGTGATATAAATTAGAAGAGCTGATAAAATAGATATTTAGCTGCTACAGCCATTCCCCACCTGAAGGGGAGAAAAGAGTGCAGCAGCACAGCAGTGCCCCTGCTGCACCCCGTCCCCAACACGTGTCCTTGTCCAGGGAATGAATGTCCTGTGTGGCAGGGAAATCCAGGGTCCTTTCACAGCTTTTAAAGCAGTTTAAAAGGCTTACAGGGCAATGCAGAGCTTGGTCCATGAGGAATTTATCCACTGGGAAGTGTTTGCATGGGGCTGTAAAAATAGAAGTGCTGTGCCGTGTGTGGAAGATTTTCATAGGAAGGTGTGGAAACCAAGGCAAGGGGAGAGCAGCACACCCCTGCAGCTTGGATGGATGATGTGGGGTGGGATGGATGGGAATAGAACCCCTGCATTGTGTATCCTTCCTGGAATGCTCCTCTGGCAGGAAGAAAGCCCGTGCTCAGTGATGTATCCAGCATGCAGCGGATCAAAGGATCATACCAGTGTCTAACCTGCACCGAGGACCTTTTTTGGCAAGAGGGAGGGTGGGTGATGAGCTGGTCGCTGTGCAGGAGTGGTGGGAAGTGGTTTGCAAGCAGGGAGAGAGTTTGTGGCTGGTGGCTCAGCGTTTCCTGGCCTGCCCTGCTGCCCTGGAGCAGTGGGCACAAGAGCAGCGTGCTGTCCTGGACTGCTGGGGCAGGGCTGCTGAGCAAGGTTGCCAAACTTTTGATAAATTATTCCAAACAAATGACCTGGAGTTCTCCTGGGATGCTCCCGCTCAAGTAGCATCTCTTCATTACTTCCTATTAACTCTGAGTTTGTTTTGAAATCTGACATTCAGTTTTCTTCCTGTGATGAAATATTTAAAATCCGGAAATAAGAGAAGCATTTTTTTTTTTTTTTTTATTATGTGCTTTGGTCTCACTTGATGCCATTTTGCATTCCAGCTAGTTCCTGCAGCCCCTGCTTGCTTCATGTGTCCTTTGGCCTTGGTCTTTGGCATCTCAGACGAAGCAGAACCACTCACAGAACTCAGAACCTTCCTCAGCCATTAAGGACCTGCTGCTTTGGATCTGCCTGCTGCTGGATTTTTTGGTCTTTTTCAAATCACCTGCTCCTCCCTCTTTTCTTCCTGCAGACAAAGTGGCATTACATAATTGTTGTTTTAGTTGCAGTTACACTTAATTGCAGTTGCACAGGGCAGGAAAGGAGTAATGCCTTGCAGGGCAGAAGCAGTACAGCTGTGAGGCTCGAGGTGGGAAGGCTGGAGGAGAGGTGGTAGTGTTGAATCTGGCTCAGTTCGCTGCCACAGCTGGCAGGAGGGACCAGCTCAGCGCCCTTTCAGCCAGCTGCACTCCCCAGAAAAGATGCTGCTTGTGGTGGTGTGGGACTGACAAGATTAATGTGTGTACCTGTGCTGTACCTGCTCCTTGTAGGGGTGAGAGGAACATTCAACTCTAGGGCTGCCGGCCAAGTGTGAAAATTGACCCGCTGCGGGGAGAACACTGGTTTTATCATAATTTTAAGCATGAGGGAATTAATGTGTGTCTGCTGGAAGCAGTATGGCATACCAGGAGGGGCTGTGACTCCTCCCAGCCCCCTCGTGGGATGCTAATAGAGAGGAGAGGTCCACTGTCCCATTTGAAAGAGAAGGGCCATGACCAATCGATGTTAAATGTGGCAGTAATGCCTCACGCGGTGGCCGCGGGATAAAAAGGCAGAGACAGCCTGAACTGTAAAGACATTTCATTTCCCTGGTAATGAGGGAGACACACTGTGGCAATGAAACCGGGGAGAGAGAGACTGTGAGATGCTAATTTCTGCTCCTGCTGCCGCTGCTGCTTTGATCTGAAGCAAATGCCCGTTTTAAATTGCAAACGGATGCAAGTCAGATATCATCCAGCCAGTGGCTTACAGGCTTAATGAAGTGGGACGCACGCTGCTGCCTGGTAATGTTAGGAGAGGCAGGCAATTCAGAGAGGAATTACTGAAGGTCTAAAGAGACAGGGAGCAAGGACAGGGGGGATGTCACAGGCTAACTCCCAGTGTGGCACAGTGTCCCCTGCTTTCTGTCCTTGGGAAGCCGTGCCTGTGGCTAAGCCCCCTCCGGCCCCTCTGTGCTTGGAGAAAAGCCTGAGCTGTCCTGGTGTCACATGCCCATGTGTTAAGGCACGCATCCTGTGC